AGCGTTGGGGGAGGACGGCACACCGCACACGGGAATAGCGGCAAATATAATCGTGATTAGAATGCCTATGGTCCTGCCCGCAGTCGCCTCGCCCGATCGACCTACCTATCGGACCTGGCACCGAATTTTGTCGGCTCCTTCACACGGAGCTGCAACATCCATCGATGAGTTCAAACGGCACCACCGGCCAATCAGAAGCGCTAAGTCGGACTTGAGACCCACTCGAGACTCGGCTTAAGTATATCGACGGTGAAACTACCAAACCACGTATCTCGGTTTGCGACGTCGCAGACTTCTTGTCATACTTTATTTTTTAAATGAAAAACTACTTAACGTCCAGTCTTGAAAATTTCTGCGATTTTTCCTCCTCGTGCGGAGAAAATTCTGTGAAAATTTCAAGGAATGATATTGATTTGGTCTACTTCAAAAAAATAAAATGTGAGCATAGATTTTTTAACACCGCAAACGAGATACGTGGTTTGGTAGTTTCACCGTCGATATTTAAGTAGGGTGGGAGGACCGACAAAACTTAGCCCCTGGCACTTATAATATAGAGAGAGGATGAAGTTGAAGAGGAAGAAGAGGAACGAGAAAGAAGTATACGAAAAAGAGGAGAGGGAATTCAAATTAAATGAAAGTATGATTAAAAAGTTACACATGGGTTTTTTAGTTGATTCTCTTTTTTTAAAATAGTAAAGGGATTAAAATCTTCAGAATTTGGAACTGATTATATGATAAAATCATTTACAAGTGTGCCATTGATCACAGAACGAGGGCGAGGAGGGAGAGAAAAAATGGATCGATAATACGAAAATGAACATCGATACTAGCACCTAAAAGCAGTTAAGTTATTTTTACACGATCATTTCACAGAATTTATTTAATGGGTTTACTGACTCGCGAAAAATTATAAGAAACCAATTAAAAATTATTCCTTTTGAAGTTCCAATATCTAAACCAATTAACAATGATAAAACATATTTTTTCCATATAGTTATAATTATATTTTAAATAGATTAAAGAAAATGAATTCGTGAAGTTAAATATAACTCATTAGAAGCTTTTAAATTATGATATTTACATATTATCCTTGATTACATTATTATTTATAACAGTAACCCATATTATAATTTAGCTAATAATATTACGTGCATGGTGTGATTGTTGAGTCAAAGGTCTCGATTGATGGAAAAAGGAAAATAATATTGACCGAAATAAATAAGTCGTTTGGTTCACTCACGAATTTTTTAAGGAATTACATGTTTCTAATGCTAGCGAAGTATTCTATCGATAACAACTTCATTTCCCGACAAACATGGTATTAACTGCATGTGTGTATTTTGCGTTTCAAATTTGGTCAAACAATGGTCAATTTGTTAAATTATTCTCGGTATTCCTTCATTTCACTCCATCTTGCAAGGTTCAATTTAACTAATGACTTTAGGAACTATCGTCTCCCGAACGAAGGAACGTAACCTCATTCCAAGGTTGTCAAATTGACCTACAAACTGATTTATTCTACAAAACTTTACCTGTGCAATTGTTATCCAACATGTTTCTGATTTTTGCATGAAATCCTAGGAAAAATCAGTGACATTTTCAGGTAGAAATGCCCAAGATTCTCTTGGTAAATATGCAATTAGCAAAGGCAAATTTGGCGACGTTAAAAGAAGTTTCGTTCTTTCGTGAAGGAAACGACAAAATATCTGAACCTTAAATGTACATATTAATGCTATGTTTAATTGAAACCTACTCATGCAGAGACAATTTTACCGATTCAAAAAACAATTATTGAGACATTAGGGCGAAAATCTTTGAAACCGAATAAAATTTGACGTGGTTTGCTGAAATTTCGATTAAATTAGATAGTTTGCTCAATCTTAATAATTAAATTGTCCTCTTTTCTCTTTTTTTTTTTTTTTTTTTTTTTTTTTTTTTTTTTTTTTCTCTTTTTTTTGGTGCGAGTAAACACGGGTTTAATCCATTTTTCTCTGAAGAGCAGTTTTATATGTACTTGTGCCTTAAACACGAAGAATCATAATAAATCTTGAGACAAATAATCAGTTTCATTGTGGAGGAAAAAATTACATAAGTCTAATCAGCGCGATCATAAATCTAAGCGGTTTTCTAAAACAATGCCTTCATTTTAAGACGCGAGCGAAAAATGGAGAGAAAAAAGAAAGAAGAAAAAACAGGATTTTTCCGAGCCGAGCCGACAGTATCACGTTGCGAATGGAATTAAAAAAATCGAGAGAGATGAGTTAGCCATGAGAATAACAAGGAAAAACTGACTGGCTCCTCCCGCGCGTAGCTTTTAATTGGTCGATACGAGGGGACGCGTGAAAAAAAGGCTTGTTCTCTCATCAGGGAAAAATCTTCGTGCTATGTTTGTTTTCTTTTAATCCCGGCTTGGATCGGGTTAATTTATTCCTCATCCTTGGCATGTAATGCCAGGAACTTGAGTTCTTATGTAAGTTGGAGAAATAAAAAAAGTCGACACTGTCGTTAGCCTAGAGAGACGGGGTCTTAAAGCGAGGGGCACAGGTTTTTTCTCGGGGGCACACATTTCTCCTGCCCAAAATGACAGGATGGAGAATTTGCATGCAAATTTTTTATTGCTTCATCTGAAAGTGCTAAAAGAGCTGATTTCCCAGTATTTTTTATTATTTTTTTCTGGTATGGGAAATAGTATCAAAAAATATTTAGAAGTGAGAAAATGCACTGCCTAGTGGGTCATCTGGCGGCATTTCCCATTTAAACATACATATTTTAGTAGATTAGATCATTTTGTCATATCTTCTCCAATAATTGTTCAATTCATGAGCCAAGGGTATCCTCGTGTTCAGTTCACTCTAAATGCTAGGTACACATTTTCCGGACTTTTTTTCATCACAATTATTTATCAGTCTACACTGTAAAAGAAGAATCCTCACAACAAATGCTCGAATTAGCTTCTGTTTATTAACGTCTGTTTTCTGTTTTTATTTCGAGGAAAAAAGGAGTTAAAGGAAAATTAATAATTTCCGAATTATTTGTTCCCACAGTTTCAACTATTAACAATTAAAAATCTGTTATAATTACCTACATTTCTAATAGTGAGAGCAGAACCCTTATTTAAACAAGTGTTATCCGTGCGTTCAACTATTTTCCAATTTAAAATGCATGACTTTGACGATAATATTACCTTCTTTTTCCGTTCATTCGTAACATAAGTTATTTCGTTAACTTTGGACCGGGTCAAAATATGATACTTTTTTTCTGGCGAAAATTGTCGCAATGCATAATTTTAATCGTCCAAAATGCGAATCCCAGAATTCGACTTAAAATATCGTAAAACGTGGTGCATTTCGTAAACTTTTCACTGAGGTAAAACAGGTATAAGCATTGCAAAATTGCACGAACTTTTTGCATCAGCAGCATCTTGGAGCCATCAATCATTATGCAATACAAAAGTGATGAAAACGATTTTATTTTTAACAAAGATTTAATAATGGTACACCAGAAAATACGAAATTCTCTCAAAGGTGTGATTTTGACGAAACACCGATTTATAGCTTTTCCGCGACCAGCAACAAACAAAAACCTAAGTAAGTAAATCATTAAAGCATAAAAAATATTAAGACTGATATTATTGCGTGAGGCCCCTCAGGTACTAAACATTCATTAAAAAGGGATTTCGCGTCGCCAGAGAGCTGCAGCTTACAATGCCGCATGACTAGCCTGTGAAAATGTTGGCATTCCAGCACATGAGGGAATATTGTTCAGCTATGTGACGTGAAAATGAGGAGGCAATGACACTTTTATGACATTTTTGACCTACCAATATACCGAAATATGCCTATAAAAATTTAAATGAAAGTCTGTCGATTTTATTTTCCTTCGTTTATTCTTTTCTAGGTAAGCTGAGTAAGAAAATAAATACTGGTTTTAAAAAAGTGCAAAAGAGCATCATATGATGGACAATCTTATGATATCCGTGTCATATTTTAATTTGACTTGAGGTTACTTAAGGGGCCCTTTACCTCGGGGCTGCGCTGAGCAGAAGGGAATTGAGGCCCGCCCATCACCAGAAAAATTCCCCACAAAAATTTCATATTTAAAAACCGAGGACAATTTTGAGTTCCGGACTACTCTACTGGGAAATTCTTGACCGCGCTACTTCAGTCGTTTCCAAAAAAGACCCTTCTTAAATGAATTTGAGAGACCACATGGGGAGCCTGTACCCCCGAGGATTGGGGGGGCGTCGGGTTCCGTGTACCGAAAGATTCTAATGAAGCTCAGTTTTTCATTCCCATTTCCAGGATATGTATGTAATTTATAATTTTGAAAAAAAAAGTCTACAACAAGCAAAAAATAAAACACGGAAAAATGTAACTCTCCCATTTTCCGAATTCCGAAAAATTCCTCCATGATTCCCGCCCACGTTGGAAGTTGATATCAATTTCTTTCAAAGAGAAGTGAGATACCTATGAGACACACAATCAACGATCTTCATTTCCCGGAGACAGAGATAAAGAAAGAGCGAGAGAAAAAAACTTCCACCACATAAACTTTTTAACATCAATTACTTTGAATCATCGTCAAAATATGAAAAAGCATCGCACCTTGTATCATTCGATTCGAGGTATATAAAATATCTCCCACGATTGAGGAATAAGGAGTAAAAGATCATGAAAGGACCTACCACACTGAATTTGTTGAAAGAATATTATGATAGAGGAGTTCGAAGGACAAGGTGCATAAGTGCAGTGTTAGTAATTTTGAAAAATACGTGTTTAAAGTTTGTAAATTACATGAATCCTTGAGGCAGAAAGAAAGTTCAAGCTGACTTTAATGTTTTAAAAAATTGAAATTTGGAAGGGAATTTTCCACAGAATATGCAGTAAGGCTAGTTTAACTAGAAATAATTAATACCTCAATTTTTTCAAAAAATGCACTCATGCGCCTCGTCCTCCAAGCCCCTCGATGGCGACATGTAAACAAACGAAAAAGTAACTCACCGAAAAACGAAAAGGCTCCAACTGTCATTAAGTTCTGCAACCCTCCCGAAAGTATCTGCGATCAGCGGGCGTATCGTGTAGTCCAATTTTATGTGAACTTTAAAAAAATCACTATGCACCAAACGTTTTTCCTTTTTTTAACAACAAATATACACTAACAAAAAACTAAACTTTGGAAAAATGAAAAACTAAGAAAATGCGGGGCGTCCTGGAAGCGAATCGACCCGGAATCGCGTGCGAACTGCGGTCACAAGGTAGGGGTTGAACGGGGCGAAAACGCGGGGGCAACGAAATGCGGGGGGAGCGGGGAGGGAGAAGAGCCAGCGGAAAACATGCGGTTCAGGAGTGGGATGGTGCTCGCATTGTGACTAGCGGTTGAAGACTGATCTCGGCGGAGGAACCGGAGGCGCAGACTCATTAACTGAGGTGTCTCGGAGTCGCCGAGGGAGACGGCGATAGCGCGGCGCCCCGGGTGCGAGAGAGAGAGCCGCGAAGATGCGGCGCGGCGCGGGAAGGAGAACACGCAATCGCCGCGCGCGGCCGCGGGTGGCGGGTGGCGGGAGCAGACACCGGCACCGGGATGCTCCCGACCAATCGGAAGCCGCCGCTCCCGCCCGGGCCCGGGATGGAGAGCCGAGCTGAGAAAAGCGCCGGCCGCACGCCCGGCAAAAAGCCCGGGAAAATTGGACGTCGTTTCGGGCGCAATCGACGTAATTAGAGGTGCAAAATGAAATTACTAGGGATAATTCAAAATTTCATTTTGCTGAAAGGTGTTATTTATTCTTGAAATTTTAACGATTTTTCAGGACGGACAATTGGACAAATTGGAAAAATTGGAAAACTCGAGAAAATTGGACACCGTTTTGGGTGCACTCGACGTAATTAGAGGTGCCAAATGAAATTACACGGGGTACTTCAAAATTTCATTCCGCTGAAAGGTGTCATTTATTCTTGAAATTTTAACGATTTTTCAGGACGGACAATTGAGCAAATTGGAAAAATTGGAAAAATCTGGAAAATTGGACACCGTTTTGGAGGCACTCGACGTAATTAGAGGTGCCAAATGAAATTACACGGGATTTTTCAAAATTTTATTTCGCTGAAAGGTGTAATTTATTCTTGAAATTTAACGATTTTTCAGGACGGACAATATGGCAAATTGGAAAAATTGGAAAAATCGGAAAAATTGGACACCGTTTTGGGTGCACTCGACGTAATTAGAGGTGCCAAATGAAATTACACGGGATTTTTCCAAATTTTATTTCGCTGAAAGGTGTAATTTATTCTTGAAATTTAACGATTTTTCAGGACGGACAATATGGCAAATTGGAAAAATTGGAAAAATCGGAAAAATTGGACACCGTTTAGGGTGCACTCGACGTAATTAGAGGTGCCAAATGAAATTACACGGGATAATTCAAAATTTTATTTCGCTGAAAGGTGTAATTTATCCTTGAAATTTTAACGATTTTTCAGGACGGGCAATTGGGTAAATTGGAAAAATTGGAAAACTCGGGAAAATTTGACACCGTTTTAGGAGAATCTTCAGCCGCAAAATAGAAAAGGTGCAACAACATGAAATTGCACGGAATAATTCAAAATTTAATATCGCTGAAAGGTGTACTTTCATTATCCTTGAAGTTTCAACGATTTTTCAGGATGGAAAATTGGGAAATTGGACGCCGTTTCAGGATAATCTCCGCCCGCAAAATAAATAGGTGCAACATGAAATTACACAGAATAATTCAAAATTTAATTTTGCTGAAATGTGTAATTTCATTATCCCTCAAATTTTGACGATTTTTCCGGACGGAAAATTGGAAAACTTGGGAAAATTGGACGCCGTTGTAGGAGAATCTCTGGCCTCCCTCGACGCAATCGGAGATGCAAAATGAAATTACACGGAATAATTCAAAATTTCATTTCGCTGAAAGATGTAAATTCATTTACCTTGAAATTTCAACGATTTTTCAGGGTTTACGCATGCAATTCGCAATTGTCCGACAATTCGTCGTTTTCCAGACGAAAAGACGCAAAAATCGTTGGAATTTCATGGAAACACTTCAATCAGAATGTTTCATTTTGTATGACTGTTTGCGCCTAGGAAAGCGAAAAATCATGGGAAAGGATGCGCGTTTACGACGGCGCAGAGATACAACTATTCGTACTTGATGGACGTCAGTGCTGCATCTGAAAAATTGAAGGCGCGATGACGTGAAGCGTGAGCTCTCGATGCTCTGCTCTATGCTGTCAATGAAGTGTCGCTCAAAATCGAGAGAAAAGTTAAAAAAACAGGCCCGAACACATTTTTCCTGCCCTCGGCTGTGTTACTCACGTAGTGCTTGAAGCACCAGTACGAATAAGACAAACGGAAACAAATACAATATGGAAAATAAAGGGAGGAAAAGGATGCGCGTTTACGACGGCGCAGAGATACAACTATTCGTACTTGATGGACGTCCGTGCTGCATCTGAAAAATTGAAGGCGCGATGACGCGAAGCGTCAGTTCTCACTGCTCTGCCATATGAGGTGGCGCTCAGATTCGGGAGAAAAGTTAAAAAAGAGGTCCGAATACATTTTTCCTGTCTTCGGCTGTATTGATACTCGTTCTTTCTTTTCAGGTTCTTGTCTGATTTTTTTTTAGGACGGATTTGCAGACTCAAGTCTTAAGCTCGTGTGAACCGCAGCACTGGCTCGGTTCTTTTGGAAATAATGGTGCTTGGTTGCGTCTAGTCGCTTTAATTTTTTATGTTTTCTTTCATTTCAGAAGTCTGTTGGTTACTTCAATATACTTTCAATTTTGCAATTTTTACTCCGTACGATTAATAAACTTTGAACCTGAAAATAGCGTAAATTTGTGCTGATTTGCCAAAATTTTCTGAACCCCTCGCCACGTAAGGGATGCCCTACCAGAAAATATCACATTACGACCCTTTAACCAGCCAAGGGTCTACGCCCTCAGATGCGAGCCAGTCCGACCCTGATCTGTAAAAACACGTATGTGCATAAGGAAACTGATGGTTAATACGTGATTTCTAAACTGAGCCAGAAATTATAGTTCCTAATTGCAAAATGTAGTCCAAATGTACACTCTCTATGAGGAAAGGATCTGTTTGAGGAACGGCTATGAATAAGGTTTCGAGTCTCAGACAATGAAAATATACTTTTTCTGATTACAGAATTTTAGTTAAAGAGAGGAAACCATAAATCTACCGCAAATGCTCGTTTACTTCTGTTCTCTGTTTCAAATAAGTGGTACACATCAATGTGCGCAAAAAATTGCGTTGACCACATCTAATAATGTAAATGAATATAGCTCTTAGTGATCATTCTAATACTTTCTACATCTCGCACAGGTTTTGTTTAAAACATGCATATTCATGCATCAAAAAGTCAGTTTTTTTCACTTTCCCTCCGCCATAAGGATCCATGTAATTTTGAAACTTCAAAGACGTATTTCTCGAAACAGCAAAAACTGCACTTATATGCCGTGTCCTTCGACCCCATCATTTATTTCGTCTCATATGCTTGAATTCTACATGCAATTGTAAGATCGAAGGCCGGAATCGTGTGCGCAATGATGAGTGAAAATGTGAAATCTTGTTCTTGGAACCCTTGGTTAGGGTTCAGATCAGTTAAGCACCTAAAGTAACTGCATAATGAAGCAGAAAGTATTACGTGAACTTTTTCAGTCGAGAGCGAGCCACTCTTATCCTCAAAAATGAAATCTCTAGATGACCAAACTTGGATCTGGTCGGTCAGACACTCCGCTTTCTATAGACAAGACTGAGTTGACTGTAGCGCCTTGATGCAACTATTCGTGTCCCAGGGATGTGCGTGTTGCATGTTCAAAATTGAAGGCACTTTTGCTTTTCTTGCTTCTTCTGAAGTGCACGGGGCTCTTCTATTGTAGCACTCTAACAACAGGATATTTGTATAGGGAAAGTGTTGACAGTTATTGACACGAGGCCAAACTATCTGAGGACAGTTATTGAATCGATCATTCTGCACGGAGAAAAAAACTTCGTGCATGGGACCCGAGGTTGAGGTCATATGGATCTCTGAAGTTCTCGGATCACGCATCCAAAAACTTGAGGTCCAACTGCCGAAGTTCGGGTCAGACATCGAGGCAATTCGGTATGTACCGGAGTACTTCAAATGTGTGACCCGAACCCTACGGTAGGTATCGAAGTACTTCAGATGTCTGACCCGAACTTCGGCAGCTGGACCTCAAGTTTTCGGATGCGAGATTCGAAAACTTCAGAGATCCATATGACCTCAACTTCGGGTCCCACGTCCGAAGTTTTTTTCTCCGTGTAACGAGCCGTCGGCATAGATCGGACATGCATTTTTTTAAGTAAGACTTTAAATTTTGCTGCTTATTTTGTGACACTCTAAATTTTAATGGGTGTTGGTTGAAGGAAATCCCATGAGAAAATTCAATAAAACCAGTTATAGACCTCTACGTTACGTAATAACAAAGATATAAGCCCCCAAAGTTTGGACATCATGTCCGATTGTTGCGGTCGACTTGCTCCACTGTGCGGTGGGCTGTCAACCGACTGCGGGTCGGTCGTCGTTTATCTCTGCTCTGCGTAGCGGGTTGCGGGGAGGCGCGGCGCGGCGCAGCGCAGGTTCAGCTTACCGCTCTTACACACAACACACTACACCTAGTTGGATTTTGTCGATAAATGCCCGACCTGGTGGAGGGAGGGGGGGGGACCCCGTCGTCCCGTCTACCCCGTGCCCCATGCCTCGTTCTCTTCATCTCACTCGTGTTTCAGCGCCTCCTTCTCCCCCACCCCATCCCCCACCCGGCGCCATTTTTGTCTCGGGAAATCTCGGTGGTTGCAGCCCTGGGCGAGGGTACAGCCTCAGAGGGCGAGAAGGGATAAACATGCAGCTCTCCTTGAAGTCCCTATTTTTTCAGGGATTAATGGTCCGCTGGGAAAAAAAACACATTGGATCTAGAGTCCAGACTCTTGAAAACATTGGCAAGAAAAAGGACTCTTGATTCAATCAGATTTAAGCTTAAATCAAAAGGACATCCGCTCAAATGAAGAGGCTTGGTTCTTGATTTAAGCTTAAATCTGATTGAATCAAGAGTATTTTTTTTTTGTCGATGTTTTTAAGAGTCTGGACTCTAGATCGAATGTGTTTTTTTTCCAGTGTCGAAATTTTTCTTCATACATTATGTTATCGGGAAATCTAGGTTTGCCAAACGCCATTTTAGGCAAACCCCGATCTTTTTTTTTTACCACTAGTGAATGTACCGCTTAATTTTTTTTTTTTTTTACCGCAAATAATGTGACTGTACTGCTTAGCTTTTTATACCGCTCGATTGAATGTACCGCGGAACTTTCATATCGCAAATATAACGTTGGCAGGTAAATTGTGGAGAGAAGAAATTTTGCGGAAGAACGCTCATCGATGCGAACATTCCTG